ACAAATAACATGTTGCAAGGTCATATTAAGACATGGAACCGAACATCAACTTGCTGCCCCTTTTTCCGTTGCTTTTATTCTTCTTTCTACTTTATGGATTTCCCACAAATTAAGGGCAATGAATGGGGGAGGAACATGGGTAAGACAGATATGAATGCAAAGTTAGGGGACCCATGTAAAGGTGAGAGGTCTCGTTCAGAGAGGACAGGGTCAATGAAGGGAGGCAGTTGGCATTGAATTGCATATTTCACAGGGAATTGTGGTTTTGGTGAACCAAATCACTACTTTTCTTTAGTGGAGAAAAATGGGTAAACAGAAAAAAATTGAGGGAGAGGAGGGTTTGATGTTGTTTGGATAGATGAGTATTGAGGGATGATGTTGGAGGCCTGAAGAAAACATGATAATCAGTGTGTGTGTGCTCTATATTTGTACCCATTTGGTTGCCTTGGATTTGGGGAAGTAGTGTCCTCACATCAGATGGGTTGTTGTTGGGTAACAATCAATGAATTCAATGTTGTAGTACGTCAACAAGTTCAAATAAAAATGTTGTAGTACGTCAAACGTGGAATTAAACATGTATGTTACATGTGGGTCTTTAGAGAAAATCAAAGGGTCATATACAATACATTAAAAAAGTGTTTTATAAAGTAAATTATATATTAACTATATAATTTGACCTATGAATTTATTTAAATATTTTAAATAAAACTATTTTTTATATTATTTTATTAAAAAATTTTAATTAAAATTTTAAAATAAACAGTTCTTTTAATATATGATCCATTCTGTTAAACTTGAATTTCATGATATATTTTCATGATAGAACCAACCAATTCAGCATTATATAATGCCTGCGCGCTTTATTCTAACATGGAAACAGGGGAGATTGCAGCCAAGTATATATTCCAACTCCACTCACAGAATCCTGGTGATCGTCTGGTTTTGTCAAATATGTATGCAAAAGCTCAGAGATGGGAGGAGGGGGCTAAAATTAGGATGGAGATGGCCAGACAACGCTATTTAGCTTGGTTGAGGGAAGAAGAAGCAAACACAGTTTAGTTTCAGGTGACATTTCGAATACTGATTATGAAGGTGTTTACAAGATTATGATTCACCAGACGGAATGGCACCTTAGATTTGCAGGATATTCACCGCATACATTACAGGTCTTACTGGATGTTGGTGACGAAGTGAAGAGAAAAAGAATGAAGGTCATAGCCAGAAGCTAGCAATTGCTTTTGCACTCATACATATATCTCAAGGTTGTGCAGCGACTGATAACAATACCAAACTAATTTTACTCGTCTATCCAAGGGAGATTAGACAACCAGAATATACTCCAATGACTGTCTAAAGAGAAATTTATAGCACAATATTCAAAGAGCTTACAACACGTAAAAGAACTACTTTCTAGGGACTTTTATTTTTTTTATCTCATTTTTTTCTTTGAAAATCAAAACCCTTCTCCAACAAAAGCCAATCCACAAATTCAATACAAGCCCTCTAATGAATCATGTAAGCTGCCAAATTGTAAAATGGTGATGGTACCCTATCAACTACAAGATAAGATACTGAGCTTACTTGATATGAACTGAAGAAACAGCTGATGTGATTGACAGACTTCGAGGATCACTGGTTTCCAAAGTAACGCCATTAGGATCTTCCCTGACTAACAAGGCTAGAACGTTCAGTGAACTCCATGCTTTTGTGATGTTGTTGCTAGAATCTCCTAAGGTAACAGCAAATATAGCATCAAATCCACCTGCTCCAGGAACTCCAGCCAAAAGAACTCCTTCCATACTCATGGTAGCATCCAGAAGTTGAGTCTGAGAGTCAGGTTCTATCTGCCATTGAGAAAGTTAAAAAGATTAACTGAATTTGAATCGTACAAGAAAGCAATTACAGATAAGTGGAAAATGCCAACTTGAACAAGCCTCAAACTTGACCATGTGAGATATTACGAGCTTACCACCACTTAACACGGTAAGATAGGGAAGTAAGTTGTTTGCAAACTACAATTAGATGGTAATTAGTTAAAAGGGAACTTCATGACAAGAACTTTGCTTTATGAACCTATTGCTACAGAAGTTTCAGCATACTTTTCAGAATTTATATTCTGGACAGTATTGAAAGTTTTCCTTATTGGTGCATTCTACATCTTTGTCTTCCATATTTAACAAGTATCAAGACAAGAGAGAACAACATACTGGAACACCAGCTGCTTTGCCCATCTGTCTCATGTGATTTCTGATCCCAAGCATAGCATCCCTTGCACCAAGCAATGCTTTAACAACTGCTTGCGAGACTGGTTCACTTGCTTGCTGCATCCACTGTCCATGCAACTGAATTGTTAGAACATATCCAATATCTAAGAAGGAACAAGAAAAACAGTGTCACCAAATTATACAAAAACTTACAATAATCATAGTAGCAGTACTAACTACTTGTGCTACTATTGCCATTGGCAAGTCAAATCTTCAAAATCAATTCAACAAAATGAAACCTAAATTTCATTAACCTTTACATAAAAAAAAAAATAATAATTAAGCATGCAATAATTTTGCAGTGCATGTAGCAGATTCCTTACTAAAACATACTGTTTCATCCTAATATGGTTACAGTTTAACATTTTACCTCTTTTCTCAATAAATATGAAAAAATGCTTGCTAAAATGTCTATTCAATTGGGGAAATATATCAGGAGAGCTACAAAAGCAGCTTCCAGAAGAGAAAATAACCACATTATTCCAATAGTTTAGTTAGCTTTTCATGCTGTCAGTCAACAACAGTGGAAGTAAACATTCCAAAACCAAAAAGATCAATTTATGATGTAATGCTTGCATAATATTCAACCAAGGTAAAAAAATTTTCTCATAAAGAACAATCAAACAATCTATGAATATCTTACAATTAAACAAATAAAATTTATCAATAGCTTTTTAACTGTCAAAACACAACTATAAAATTATAGCATTATTGTTTCTTCCCTGACAGGTATTTATTCGAAAAAAGAGTATAAAATTCTGTAAAAATACCTCTTCTGATTTAAGCCTGCTGCAACTTTCAATCACAGATCTATATGCATCCCAATGTTCTTCAGCTAATTTGCTTAACCTACTGAGATGGGTTTCAAGTTCTGAATTTGCCTCTGAAAGCTTTCTCAACGTTTCTTGGGAATTCTGAGGTTCAGATTTTTGCCATTTTTTTACAGCACCTACCATTGATGGCGTCGATGATCCTCCACTTCCTGGTTCCCCTAGTAACTATGAAAGCACACAATAAATGTGACCATAAAGTACTTGACTTTACCAATAAAGAAATCTAACAAAGAATACAAAAATTCTCTCTTTCTTTCTTTCTATCTTTCTTTCTTTCTTTTTCTTTTTTCCTGTTCTTATAATGCAAAACAAAAGAGAATGGTGGAGATTCAATAATTTTGATATTCAGATTAAGATTCCAGAATAGATTTGAACTCAGCTCACATTTTTTGATAATTTCAACATGTATCTACTCATGTGTTTATGCATCAACCTTTAAGCCAAATAGTTGCAAGTAATAGAAAAAAGCTTGATTTTTTTTTTTTTCAGCCAAACAATCCTGACGAATAGTTCCTCATGAAGCTTACAAGAGTCATTAATGGTGGCAAGGAAAACTTGGTCCTCTGATGGTCCCATCTTGCTTTTAGAATGTTGTCAATGACTTCCTGTAATGGCATTGCTTTCAACACAGCCTGAAACACAGACAAGAAATTCCATACTAAGCGTGCAGAGCTTCAGAAAGTTTTGGATGTAGTTTTTGTCAATGTAAATATATACATATACATACAATACGTACATAAATACACACACACACACACACACATATATGGATGAAAGTGACAGGGTAAGGGAGAATGTTAGAACTAGTGTCTCTTAGTTATGTAGCCTAGATATAAACATCATACACCACCACCACCAGAAGTCTGCAGTTCTTAATGAGTATGTAGCTAGGATGATTTGTAGACTTAGGTAACAAAATATTAAGAAGCAGCCTTTGTCACATCCTGGTCAACTGCTGACCGACATTTGGATAAAGATGGTAGTCTACTTCTGCAGAAGAATCATAACCGGACATGCAGGGGAAAGACAGAGAGAGACCTGAGCAGAAGCAAGTACTTCTGGTGAAAACCGCACATAACGCTGACTACCATAAACTGCGGAACTGACATCGAAGCCACTGCCAACCTTTCCTTGGGCAATACAATGAGCACTTTGAGCAATCACATGGATCACATCAAAATCATCCTTACCATTTTCCAGTTGATCTCTAACAGAGAAGTTAAGGTTGACTACGCCAAGGTAGTGAAGTAATGCAGCAACAACAGCAGTAGTCATAGCTGCAGATGAACCTAATCCAGTTTTTGCTACTTCAGGCTTGCAATTTTCCCCATTTGATCCCTCTGTATTGAATGTAATTGATGTAAAAGGTGGAAGTGCAGCCAATGCTTCTGGTGTCAAAGGAAGTCCACGTGCTTCAATCTGTAGAAGAGAGGTAGTATTGAAAAATATAATTCAAACAAAAATTTTATATTTGTAGGATGAAAATACAAAAAAAAAAAAAAAGGAAAAAAAGAAAAGAAAAGAAGATGGTAAAATACCTGATTCCGGTACGAGTAGAAGTCATTGGAACCTAAGATAGTGATATCAAGACCTGCAGGACTAATTAGGACAACCTAAGATTCTTGAAAGTGCCCTATCCATCAACTTCAAAAGGATAGAAATACATGTGAAGCATGAAACATTACCTTGCAAGAGAAGTTTTTCAAATGTGGCCTTCTTATGGTTGTCAAGTGTTGCATGTGCAGCAGCGACAGCATATTCCACTGCATGCTCAACAAAAGGGTTCCTTGATTCACTGAAATTATAAACCAACAGCTACCACTTGAATGACCAATATAACAATGTGTTTCTTACAGTTTGCTTCATTGTTGTAAAAAAAAGAGCATAGATTTCTCCATGAATAAAGAAAGGATTGAACACAGATATATGCACAAAGATGATTTAATGAAACCTTACCTTGAAGATGCACACTGAAGGGTTAAATCTTTCAGAGACAATTTGTACATGCTCTCTCTCATGAGCTGAGGAGATGTTACTTTGACATCAGTCCATGTCTGTACGGTCATAAAGATTGAATTTCATTTCTCAGGATCATTGTCCACAATTGTTTATTAATCAACAGAATTAAGAATGGAATGCTCTTCTTAGATGTATGTAGGGACAAAACGGAAATTTAAAGACACTCAAAAAGGCAAAAAGAAGAGAAAAGAAACCAAAAAATTTAAATCCCTTTGTTTCACCCTTTTGTTGATAAAAAAGTTTAAAACTGAATCTCAGAGGCTCAACTTGTGCAGACCAAACAAAACAATACCCTTCTGAACCAAGTTCAATGTAACCACCTTGCTACCTGGCATAAGCTCTTTGATATCTTGAAATCAAAGCAACACAGAACTTAAAATAGAATCAGTTTTGTCTTCCGTACTTAGGTTTCTAGCTCTACAGCCTCTACTGTGTCAAAGGGGGAAAAGCACAAATGCACTATCAAATGAAGAAATCTCAACCTTTTAATGGTTTCAACATAGACCACTTGTTCATCATCAAGCAATGGTATACCATAAGAAAAGAATGAAAGGAATCCAAATACATGGAAACATATAAAGGTACAAAATGAAGAGGAAGGGCGCACCCATGCCCAGCTTTCAGGCTTGAGCTCTTCGTAGAGCGGCTTCAGAATAGCATAGAATCGGGCAGTTGTACTAAGTACCAGTCCTGCATTTGGCCTGTCCAAGATCAGGTACCCTCCAGTCAACAACACCTTCCCCGGCGCCGATGCAATTCTGTTTTAACATTGAAATTCATCAAAATAATTCAAGAAACCACCGACTTTGTCTATGATTCACACTAAAAACCCTCCGAAATTTTCATAAAGAAGCAAGAAAGAAACAGAAAGATCTCTGAGCAGCAATCAAGCGGAAATCAAATTGAAAACACTGAATCATCATCGAGTCTGATTGAACGGATTGAATTACAAGAGAAAAAACCGAACTTACACCGCCATTTTCCTCGAGAAAATTCTTAAGTTGCCGTGAAAACCGAAACTCAGCCGGGATTGTCTCTAACAAAATTTACCGAATTCATTTGATTCAGAAGCAATTAACTGCTGATACTAAAGAAAAGAAGAGCCACGAACTAGAGATAAATAAAATAAATAAATAAATAACAAATAAATAACTGTACCTGCAAATCTTCGTTTGCGTAGAGAAAAAAACGAAAAGAGGAAGAATTTAAAAGATGGAGACGGCAGTGCCGATGACTTGCAGGAAGCTCTTTCAGACGCCGTGGCTCAGCTACCAGCGAAGAAGACGACTCCACTCAAGCTCGGCAGTGTGTCTTCTTTGACGTTCATGTTGGTTACAGGACCCACCACCATTTGACTTTGATGTCAGAGTTTTAACTTCCAAGCCCATGAAAAGATCTGGACTGGACTTTCTCTTTCATTGGGCTGAAAAGTTAAATCCACAGAGAGAATAACTAAATAACTGAGTAACCTGCCGACCCAAATATAAACAGCAGAAATGGATACAGAGAGGAGAGGAGAACTACAACTTGGTTTGATTTCACTTCGTGTGTAAGTCTTTGGTGATGCTTTCTGGGTTCATCAGGTTCTTTCTGTTTTTTTCCTTGGCTGTCGATTTTATTTCCATTAGATTTGATTAAGAGGGTGTTTGCGGAGGTAATCTCTTTTTTGTGAGTCTTTGCCTGTTGGGTGTGTAGTCATTTCCGATTTTTCGTCTTTTGGGTAATTGGTTGATTAGCTTGAGTGATTATGTAAATTTCATGATGTAGAAAGTTTGCAGCTTTAAGAATTCTAACGAGTCAGATTCAATTTCTTGCTTCTGGGTCGGAATCATTTTGATTGTTGTAGCAATGGTATAAGAATGAGTGTTTAAGGACTTTGGTTGCCTACAGAACATGAACTCTATGCACCTAAAGTTGAATTGAATTGGGGGATTTAGAAGTTTTTTTAATTGGTTAGATATGTTTCATTTTCATAATCTGCTCTATAATGTCATGTTGCTAAAGTTTTTGCTAAAGTTGTATCCTGTTTTCCTTGCCAGTACAGAAATGTTATTTATAGGTCTTGTCTTCTAAAGGAGGCCTGAGAGATGCAGAAATTGGGTGATTTCAAGCTTCCTCAGTTTTTTAATTACCCACCTTACTTCACGTATTCTTCTGCTCTGTTGCTCTCATTTGGTTTTGTTCTAGTCACACCAATTCATTATTTGTTGCCATTGCTTTTTAATTTTTTTTGTTAAGTTGTTTGCTTTACGACATGTTCCTCCTCACTATGTTTGTATGCAATTGTTTATGCCATACACCAGTCTGCAGCCAGTGAGAGAGACCCGAGAGAAGCAGGTGCAATTATGGAAGGAACTTATTCTTGAGTATTGTAGAACCCAAAAGATATTTGTCATAGGACTTGAAGAAGAATTCCCACTATTCTCAAATCCAGAGATTGAAAGTAAGATCAGCATTTCTTCAAGTTGTACTAAAGTGGTTGAATTTGGTGCTTAAGTCTCTAAAACTGTTTGGTGCATTTGTTTCAATGCAAGTTTGCTAGAAGATCATTTTAGTTGGTTTCAAAGGTAGCATAAAGTGATGATTTTTTTTTCCATTATGTGTCTCAGAGAATTCAATCACATAATTATTTGGTTTGAATGGAATCTGTTTTAATGCTCGTCATATCTTCATTTATTTACAGCCTGAAAGGCATTTATAATTTTTCATGATATTATTTCCCTTGTAGCCATTATTATTACACGGTTGTTTCCCTGCTTTGATCTACTGTACATTTATACTTTGATGTGATGTATGGTGCAGGATCACTTAGCCATGAAGCCAGGGAAGCATTCGTCTCAGCCTTGGTTTCTGATGGTATTTTCTGGTTTTGCCAGTTTCCCTGCAACCCCATACTTATTATTTTGGTTCATGTACATAGTTATACAATTTCTTGCATAACATCTATGATTTGTTTGAGAGATTTAAAAATCCCTTTTGAACTAACAGGACGTGCTGAATGGTTGGATAAAGGACACCGGAAGTGCCTTATTCTTTGGCACCGGATTCAAGATTGGGCTGAGATTATCATAAACTTTGTAAGTTAAATTTGATTTTTCTCAATTTTTGTGTTATGCTGTGCATTAGTAGTTTTGTTTCTTCCATACCCCCTTTTCAATTTGTATACACTTTATTAGGTGAAAGAAAATGGATTGGAGGACAGTGTAATGACTGTTGAAGAAATACGTTCAGGGATAGAATCTCGAGGAACAGGTAAACTTGTGGTCTAGCTAAATGCTTAATGAAGCAAATTTTGCAGATTACTTGAGAAATTCCAATACTCTCATGATAATGCAATATAGGAGATGATTCTTATTCTAGGTCTTCCTCTGTTCTCTTCTTTATTTCATGGAAAGCTGTAGAAGTTTCTTTAATAGATTATATGACAAAAAAGGATAACATGCTCTTTCTGCTATCCTCCTTCACTCTATTGCTTTACACGCTTGCCCTCATCAACACTGATGTGCTGTTTTTCATGGTTGTGTTTTGCTTGCATTTGGCTGCCATAGAGCTCCATGGGCTGGACCGCATAATTCTAATGCGAGCTTTGAAGCTACTGGAACACAAAGGGAAGCTCGCAATTTTCAAGGGAACTACAGCTGACGATGAAGGTGTGAAATTCTCTATTTAATGTTTTAACCAGATGGCAAAGGCTGCCCCCATGTGTTCACAGAACCCTTCAGTTTGCTAGTTTCCCTTTATGTAACACATATATACTTGACCGTTGGTCCCTCTTTCCATCCCCTAGTGACTACTCCAGCTATGCTTTCTTTTTTGGTAATAACTAATAAGTTTCACCTTTGAGATTCATCAAAAAAAAGTTTCACCTTTGAGATTGAGCTTTTGAGCCTTTTTAAGGATAACTTATACTCCTATTTTCCTAAAATGCATTCAAGATTTTACTTGGCAACCATGACTGATTAAAACTGTTATTTACCGAAATGACAATGGAAGAATTTAAACTCGCATTTACTACAATTCTTATCTGTATCACTTCGTACTTTTCTATACAAATTAATAACAAAAGGTGTATTTATTACATCTTTAATGCAACGCAGGTTATAAAAACAAACGTTTTTACCTCTAATTGTGAAGCAATTTGGTTCAACATCTGTTCCTTTAGTTCCAGTCGAGTATCCATCCAATACATAACCAGGAAAAGGCACAAAATCTAGAGAGTTGGAGAATTTATTCTTAAGGAGGCAATCGATTTTTTAGACCCAAATCCATGTACTTGAGAACTGACGCTATCTGCTGTTTGAAACGGAATGGCTCAGAACATATTCTCCGTAAATTTACTCATAACAATAAAATGTCCAAAGATTTTCCAATCCAAATGATGGCGGAAGTATGGAACTATAGTCTATAAATAACTCAACAATGAAATTTAAACCAACGTTCAAATTTTATGAAACAATGCCGTGTTTACCTTGTAAGCGAAATTACATAAATAAAAACGACCAAAACTGAGTAATAAATAAGGGTATTCATTAAGCAGAAAGGAGAATGCACGAGGATATTAGACCTAGGTCGCAGGATGCTTTAACCCAGCTTATTCCGAGGTGTGTAATTGCCTCCAACTGCATCCAGTAGAAGTACGTCTACATTTTTTTTTTTTTTTGGGGGGGGGGGGGGGTGTAAAAAAGAGGTAGAAGTACATCTACATTCAACCATATGTTGGTGCCAGGCATTCATCAACCATATCCACAAGGTTTGGGTTTTCTAATGCTGCTGCTACGCGTTCTTTGTCATTCAGTTGTTTATTGACTGCATTAGAAAAGAAAACAAAAATGAGACAAAATGCCAGAAAGCTGGTACATAATGTTGTAATTTGCTAAGGGTAGGAATGGTTCCAATTCAGTGGGATGAGTAACCTTTTTATCAATGAAAGAACAGAGGTGTCATGACAGGCTTTGAAAAATGGTTTAGGCATTAGCCACTTTTTGACCTCACGGATCACTCACTAGAAATTAAATAAATTGACAAAATGGGCACAACAAGGCAACAAGCACTAAACCCACTTACCCACCTACTGTAAACCTACCCCCAAAAAAGGCAAAAGATGAAAGTAGAGAATACCTGCAGCTTCTGATGCATGAGTTCCAGGTGCAACCCTTATATCCACCTAAACAACATTAAGAAATATTATCAGTGAGGTAAGAAAAAGGTAAGGGATGCGGAGAAGGAAACGAAGGAACAACCTAAGATACCATTATCAACAACAATTATATAACTGAGACCAGATTAATAGCCATAGATATTGACAATTTATTTGAATCATGAATTGACACATATATATTAATATAATCAACAGATACATTAATCATTCCTATCATGATTCACAACCCATAGACTAGATGGATTGCATACCTATCGTTTGATCTTCTTGTAACATAAACTGATAAAACACACCAGGACTTGTAAATTTTCTTCCAAATAATGTGCATCTTTTGTGGCATTTCGGTTAATGATAATGCTATTCGTGGAATGACAGAGCATATACTCTTGAGAATAGAATATTGAATTAAGAACATTTGTCGATGTCTCATACTTCACATATATGGATGCAATCATGTAATTAAATACTTATAACAACTCGACACCTAAATCCATCATATTATGATATTAACATTCACATTTGAGTCCAACAGAATATGCAGTCCAGATATTTGACTTCTGCTAACATGCTGATTACCTGAGTGCACCTCAAATAATAGTAGAAAAGATATTAGCTATCAAACTATGAATCTATGATGTTTTATGCATTATCCTAGAGAAGAAGGTGAATAATTATACTAACAGAATGTGACAGAGAAGAGCATCAAAACCAAAACAGCATTTGATTGGCACTCAAATGAAAGAGAGTCCTGCCTACTCACTAAATCTTTCAAGAACCAAGAGTGCTTTTGCGAGCAGAGACCAATATCTATGATGTTAAGCAGTTAATACCTTGTAACGAGAGGGCAGGCTCCTCATCAACTTCACCCGTACACAAAGGCCAATAACTGTTGCCATACTACAATGTTCAACAGTTGGTGTAAAAGTGACCCTAAATCAGATGCAAAGATTATACATCAAACTAAATGAATAAGCTTCTAACATTAATTGAAAGTTTCTCGACAGAGAAATTAAAACAATTTGTTTATTTTTCTTTACCTAACATAACTTTGCTTGTCATCTACTTCAATTGCATCTTCAGTTATCACTTTCAGCTCCTCCAAAGAATAAGGATGTTCTGGGTCCTTTATATCTCTAATATGATTTAAGAATGTTAAGAAAACAGCCATTCTAAATGCTTATGATATTTATCCACATACATGACTATTGACAATCCCAGACAAATTTATGTGAAAACAGGAGTCCATGGAAATAAAGTCAAAAAGAATTAACAGGCATATGCAACAAAACTCACAATTTTTTAGCCCTAATGCTCTTTAATGTCTATGCAATCACAATACCTTTCAATGTCCCAAACAAAAATGTCTACACAATTCACTTCAGCAGTCATTTCTATCTACAAGTCGATACATCAAAATACCCCACACAAAGTGTATTATGTTTTTTTCTTTACCAACTTTGACCGGAACAAACTAAGTCTATAAAACTTAGCTCTTAATTTCTGGTCATCTACGTCGTTACTTTCAAGGTTGGTGCTGATGCTTGTCCTGGCTTAGCCTCCCTCCCTATGATGCTGCTACAGACTAATTTCCCACCCTTACCTAAGCACTTAGACCAACATGTTTGAGTAAAAAAGGGTAACCATATTTACAAAACTAATAGAAAGGCAACAGCAAGTGGTAAAACAAGAATGCAGAGCCACAATAATTGACATCAAAATATAAAGTCAAACCAAAAGGATATCAAAAATTTCTTGTTGGTCTATGGGCTCTACTGCATACTCATCTGCATCACTGGGTACATTTCGAACCCGTCTCTCCTTCTTCTCATACACAACTGGATTTGCATTAATTAATTCAGACACCATATTTGCTGCAAAATTAGAAATTTTATTAATAAACATAATAATCTCAACAAAAGAGACATAAATCCATTCACTTCTACCCTTCCTTTTGTAACTCAATTCAATTCATAATTCGAAAATCATATAACTAATTGAGACCAAGAAAAATCACAGAAAATTTTTAAAAGCCCAAAAAAAATAAAAAATTCCTTCTTTTCATGTCTAAGACTTTTCATAGTTGGTCTGAAGAATACCAAGACAAGAAAAACAGATATAACGAGAAGAAAAGAATACCCAATCTCTGTTCTTTCTCTTTGCTGATTAAAAGGGGGCAGGAAATTGATTTCGAATGAATAAGCAAGGGATACGGCGATTCGGGTTGAGAAATTGTGAGAGAGATGAATACCTGCAATTGAAAATTCCTCGGAGAAGATGTGCAGCAGACACCAGAGAGCAGCTACGACGGAGTCAGAAGGGGGCCAAAGATGGTGGAACCAATTGGGCTTCCTTTCCGGAGCGGTGAGTCTGCCAAAGTCTATCGGTGGGAGAAGAAGACGGAGGAGAGGATGGGGAAGGAAGAACGGTGATGTCCAAAGAGATGGGGAAGTTGGCTCCTGTGCTGTACCATATGATCCCCACGACGTAAGCAATCGCGGCGCGAGCCGAAGGGACTTCGAGTTCGAGGCCTTTTACCCTTTGGGCTTGCAGGCCGGCCTAGTTCGACTTAGAGGCCTAATAATATAATTAGCCAGGTGGCCCAAGT